TAAAAACATAAGTGCCCACTGGAAATCAAAGTCAGAACCACCTGCGTGGGCAGTAAATAGTCAACTCCGATTTCTGTGAACTTCTGGGGACCAACTTTTTGATTCACTATATCCGATGATATCAAAATTAAATAGAATTTCTTTACAATTATTGATTTTATTAACAGAGAATGCAGCAAAATACATTAACACGAATTGAAAATGTCAATATCTTTATTTGCCCTAAAAAATCAATGATTTTCAATGGTTTGCTTCGTAAATTTTTCATTAGCAATTTCTCTATATTCTTCTCCAGAGTTTGTGCTCTCTCCATACTTAATTCTGCATTGTCCACTGTTTTGAAGAACCGCAAAGTAGAGTTCACACCCTTAAATGGTTTGTTGGAATAACGTTCTACTCTCCAAAGACTCCTTTATTCGCCTAATAACATACGAGACCCTTTTGGTGGCAGCATGGCGCAAGCGGCTAATGAAACTGATCGCTTTTCCGCGCGGCGTAGGGGGTGTCGTTAGGCCGCGTGAGTCGCGCACTTCCTGTCGCCTACGTAGAACACAACGCGATTTGTCCAGCGAAATGTCAAATAACATCAAGCTTGAAACTTCAGCAAACAATCGCGCCGTCAGTTGCAGCCCACAGCCTTTGTTTCCGCAGTGAAACTGAGTGGAATACGTTATCAGTAAGCACCTCATTCCATATCCGCTACCTTCACCTCTGGGGAGACTTCTTTTATGACCTTTGGCCGAAGATGGTTTTTCTGAGCTGCCTGGTGTCAGAATTTGTAGTACCGAGGTGATATATTCTTTTCCCGGAGGAAATTAATTTGCAGGTTGCATTTTCTGCGTTCAACGTAGCCGAGGTTCAGGTTCACTATAACCGAATCTTATGCTTATTTGTAATGTAAGTGAAACGGGGCCAGTGACTTAAGTTAACTACATCCAAAGGTTCACTGTATCCATCCACAGGTCACTAAGACTGGAGTCGACTGTATAAGTGATACGGATACTACGCATACAATTCTGTAAGTAATGTAATAGACTTTTATTAAACTTAGTTTTAATTAATTTACATGAATTTGTTTGCATTTTATTAAACATTGGTTTTCTGAATTTTGGAAATAATATTTTCGTCATTCGAGGGGACTGCAACCCCCAGTTTGTTGGGGCACCCGCCACCAAGGTTAGTGTTGCGTGGGAGCAGCGGTTCTGAATGATTAGCCGAATCGACACAGGCGATTCCGCGCGCTTCGTCGCCCGCGAAAACGCTGTAACAAAGATGTGTCAATTCCCACTACAAAACAAACATTTTAAGCTAGTTCTTACTGTATTGCAAACGTTTTGAGTATTTTTTGAGCAAGATGAATAACATGAGCAGTTGATGTGTCCTTTCGTTTCAACGCCTCTACTGGTGTATACGTGATCTAGTTATAATCGGAGTAACAAAGGTTTAGAACTAGTGGTGATGGGTCCTAAGGGGGACCGCGACCACATATTTAAATTAGCGCGCTGATGAGGGCGCGTCCAAGAGCGCTGTCAGTGTCGGCCGACCGGCCAGTTAGAGGGGCCTTACTACGTCACGGAGAGGTAGGCGAGGTGGGCCAACTTGACCAGCGAACGAGAGGAAGTGAGCCTTCTAAAATCTGCAACGGTCGAGAGTGGACTTGTGTTACACTGGAGAGCAAGCATCGTAGACATAGTAGGTAAATCGTAGCAAGGATTTCGATAAGCATTTTCTTACGTAGTGCTACATACGTGAAGCCGTCTAAAATTTGTAACTGAGTAGGCTACGAGAATAGAATACTTTAGTGAAAGCAACTCTAATCAGGTATTCGCTTTTGGTGGCGCGACGGCGTAGCTGCGAGCGATTCGACCTTCGCTGGAAGGAGAGGAGCGATAGCGTAACGTTGTTTTCTGTGCATAGAGTAAAACTCTAGGAAAGTGTTAGTTTCGGAAACTTATGTGGAAACAATACTTCACAATATTGAACCCAACATTGAATGCAATTGAACAAATCTGTTTTTTGCTAAGTACATTGGTTAGCTGGGAGATAATGAACAAATGACAGATGACCGTCTATCTTTTGAAAAAGAAAAACTTGTAAATATTACAATAAAAACTTTTTGGAAGGGGACTTATGTAAATCTAGTATAATTGTGAAAAGGGTTATATAACTGTTAATTTTGGGCTAATGTCTGCAATGCTTAGAAGGCCCGTTTAAAGAATACAGCTTAGTCGAGTGATAAAATACTGCCTGTAATTATCATATGGGATCCCAATAGAAAAGGTAACAGCAGAATGAATAGCGAAATGGTAAGGGATGATACCAGAGCTGAACATTTTTGGTTGAGCACTAAAGCAAATATTTGGAAAAAGCAATTAATGATTAATCGAAGTGTGATTTGGTTTATGATCAACGAAGTGTGTTAATTTTTGTTACGAGGATCTAATAAATCCCAAGGAACTTTAAAATCTGTATAACGTTTTTTACTTGTGGTCTCAATTACTTACTTCCCCCTACCAAGACCCCTGTGGCCTTAAGGTTCCCAAACATTTTCCTTAATTTTTTTTAAAAAAAATTAATTATTTCATGTGGTGAAGTACCGTCACTGTACGTATATATTTTGCATTAACTCCCAAGCAGCAAGTACGCGAAAACTACTTATTTTCTTTGAAACAAAATGTACATGACCTTATTTAATTTTTTTAAAACAAATCTAATCAATTTTTGCAAATTGTTTTTGCTGTAATGTTCGAAAATGGTGTTCGCTGGAAATGGGACCCACACGAATTTTTTTTGGCTGTCCTTTACTACATACAGTAAAAAATATTAAAAAATGAGCAGAGTTTAAGAGAATCTTAAAAATTGCGTTCATTCTTTTCAAGCCCCATTACGCTATCCAAGGACAAAGTTCAATCGAATTTGGACCCACTTTTCAAAAGTTTAGGCATTATGTAAAGTACTTCCAAAATCACAATTTTAGATTCAAACTCGCAGGGCATCGAGTTCCATCAGGTTGATCGGTGAATATCAATTCTGGAGAAAATCGTCTGAACGGCTTAGACGCTAGCGTTGAAATTTTTTGCGCCGTCAATAGATTTTTTCGATATCAAAGGACCCACAAAAGATTCTGACTACGTGAAGAAAATTACAATACACAGGAACATGATTTATCTTTTCGTTACCCGGGCCCGACAATCGTCTATGGAAATTTCGCAGTTTTCTGGCGCTCGATTACATAACTCTTCTTTCGAAGTAATGGCGAGAAAGTATAAATTATTTCGGTTAATTTTTTTTCAGCGACCTACCATTTCAAACTAATATAATAATATAGTTTTTAATGGGTATAAATGGGGATTTAGTGCAATAAAGAAGTGGTCGAATTATACACCAAAATAAAAAATTAAGAATAACATTTTAATAAAAAACTCAAAGAATCACAAAACTTAAGGAAACATACATATGAATTAGGGATGGGCGATGTATTTGCGATTAGTACAATCAATGCAATTGAACGACTATAATAGGTCCATGGTGGAAAGAGATGGGTGAGCTATTGCGCATATCCAACTTTAGGCACCATTTGCGTTAAAATATTAGCGGGAAATTTAAATGCAACCCGATCAAATTATCGCCCAACGAAATAAAAATATTGCGCCTTATTTCGATTACACCGTGTTATTTTTGGCTGGCCACAGATGAAAACTGTCACTATGCCACTTTCAACACGTTTCTCATCACTTCTCGCCCTCCGTGCAAAATAGCAGCAAGCGTAGTCTTTTCAAACGAAGCGCCCTTGTGGTCACGTTGTTCGAGTGTTCACTGGTGCCGCGCACGAGCAAAACTCGGTAAGAGGGACTAGCTCACTTAGCATCTCTTTTTACCATGACGGGGGCTTAATACAAAATAACATGTAGTAAATACTGCAATCGACAGCAATTTCGACGTTCTGCGCATGCGCATTTCGTGTTACCCAAAACTTCTGAGTGTCTGCGTTTGGGCAAAGATAGATTAGTTGTACGCTACGCTGTGCTTGAAAGATGTTATTTAGCCCAATTAATAGAGCCTTTTGCGCAGCATAAATTACCTTAGCATAAACCGCTTTAGAGCTTCTGCGCATATATAGTCCCGAGTAGCGCATACCCGACATCTACATCGATTAAAATATTAAATTATTCAGTTAATTTGAATTCAATTTTCAATCTTATAATTTTTAGAATGCTGCCACATTGGTCACCAATAAAGCCTCCTTATGAGTACACAGCCTATACATATGCTGTACAGTGGTACCGATGACGAAGGTTGGTTTGACGCCCTCTGGCCACCGCATCTGATTGTTAAGGTCAGTGGCGTGAATAATGTTAGTTCGAGGTGTGACGAACTTCAGGCAAAGAAACCGTGAGTATTGAGAAGTGCTCCTACTCCCGAGGTGTCTCAGTGTTTCTAACGCGCATTTCATGACGCTCGTCCGCTTAATTTTGCAAGTTCATGCGAAGCGTCCTCTGCGAGCGGAAGGGATGGAATCTAACAGATTTATATCTTAACATATTAAATAACTGGATGATGCGGAGAGTAATCTCAATGTATGTTGCAGACATTATCAATAATTATTAAATAAATTTAATTTTTCAATTATGCGGGTGCACACACACGGGATTAATTCCTCAAACAATTTATTACCATTTTCATAATGTAATAATATTGTACTTCAGGTCTAATAATAAATAATAATTTTGGTCATTATGTTAAAACGGAGCATGGGCAGGAGTGAATATAGCATGCTTGGTGCATCTTAAGTTAATACTTTTGATGTTCAACACAAAGGAATAACACACAAAAAAATTAAATTACTGTCATTCCTTTGAATTTGAAGCACATTAAAAAATTTTGTCTTGTTTGAAAATCTAAAATTTAATGTGTGATGACTTGAGTGCCATTCATGTGACATAAATCATAATTTGTTTTACATTAAAAACCTAATATCACAAAATACATAGTTTTTACTTATGATTATTTGAAATATTGTATGTTATGTTTGAATTGACACTTTTTGTAATGTATTGTTTTGTTAAATTAATTTAAAGATTCAATAGTGAGACATCTTATTTTTAATGCTATTAATACACTGAAAATCATTAATTTTAATTTTACATGCATTCATGGCAAATATAAAAACTTAACATTCAATAATCGCACATCCCTGCGATTGTACAGTACAGTACAGTTAGCAAGAGCAAAAATCCATGATCCAAAAAACACTCTCCAACTTCCTTTTTTGCTCTAACAAAATGTTTGCAGTTACTACTATACATCAAAAGTAGTTTCCTACTTTTCTTTTGCCAAGTGCAACCAACACATTGTTTTAATAAAACATTTCCACAAGGACTATATAATGAAATGGCAACATTTGACCATAATAGATCCATTTCTTCATTCAGTCTCATCTAAAAGTCATAGCTTGTTATCTATGACATCATGATGCATTTCATATGGAATTTTCTTGCAGAAGAGACAGCAACAGGTGGATAAATCGCAAAACAATTGTCTGTGAATGCCCCTCTTGTTGGCAAAATGACTTATCTCTACATTACTTGGGAGCATCATGTAGAATACAAAATTACAACACAAGCATGATATGTGCCCTGCTAGTATGTATCTTCCCCTTTTTCTTGCAGGAGCTCCTACCATGACAGTTAAGTTTACACCTGGAGCGTTCTTGGGATTTCTAGTACCTGATTTGCCTGGAGGTGCATTTGCGAGTATATTGTAGGATAAAAAATCTTCAAGAACAAGTACAAGTAATATCATTCCTTGTCGTTTTTGTTGTGTGGGTGTGCGGAATGGGCGTGTCTGGGTTAGTTGTCATGAAGGGTCATCAAACACACTATACGATAATCCTAAAGGTCATTGATGTGTCCCTTCATTACAAACAATTTTGTCATTACAAGGCAAATAAAACATTCCAGAACCAAATCTTTCAAGGAATAGAATGCCACATCAGAAATTCAATGTGAAACTCTTAACCCCACTTGCTCAAGACCTGTAGTGTAAATAAACTATTTAGAATGATGAAACGAAGAAGCATTCAAGGAAAGCAAAATTTCAGAAACCACAAACAATTAACATTTTTTCCCTTACATAATACAGCAGTAAATTACAAAGATATTTTTATGATTGCAAATTTACTGAACATCCAGCAGCTCCTGCAATGATTGGCAACATTCCGAACCATCTTAACAATTGCACATTGCCATTCATTCATCTACTTCAGCGTCTCTGACAATAGTATATTTTGTACCTGCAAGAAATACTTTATCACAGTTTATATTTAAACCTCCCAGGTCACTATTTTCCTGGAACAAGTTTTCCTGTTTTTACCAGGTTTTCCAATTTTTTCTTGAGTATTTCCAATATTTAAATTGTTTATAAGAGTAATATTTGAAGAAAAAAAGAAAAAAAAAAAAAAAAAAAATTAAAGTAACGCTTGGATTCCTGTTATTAATTTGTCAGTCATTTGATTTTGCTGTGAACATGACCAAATTAACAATATATGCTTAACAAAAACATTGTGCCACAAAAAGAACTTATCGCAGCTTCTCTCTCTCTCTCTCTCTCTCTCTCTCTCTCAAGGAATAATTCTATCAACTTTTTAAAATAACATACCCTCAAAGAATTGTCCTAGCTCCTAAATCATTTTCTTAACAATAACAATTTCTTAACCCTGAGATTTCTGATCAACGAATCTGTCGAGCTTACCCAATTATCCAGAAAGTGACCACCCTGCATTCAGCGATCTAGTTTTGTTTCTTAGATCCCAAGTATTTTTATTGTTATTATAATTATCATTATTTTATTATTATTTTATTAATATTATTACTTTTTTAAAAGAATATTTTGAAAAATGGCAATACTTGATAATTTTTGTTTCATTCACTTATTCAAATTACTGTTGTAGTGCACATTTGTGTGCATATTTCAGTTGCTTTTTTTTCCTTTACCCAGAGATAACTGGAGTTTATAGCCCCCTACCAGAGAATTATCAAAATGAAGACAATTTGCAATATATTCTTTAATTTGGGGGGATTTTTGACCTTCCTACATTTTTAATAAGAAAGACCCCGACAGGCAAACTATTTCACCACACTGACTGAAAACATTCTCTGGTTATATGTATTTTCAAACTATTGTCTATGCACATTTTCATAATTAAATAGAATTGTAACCACAGGGCAACAACACCACTGGACCACCAACATTATGTTATTACACAATCAAATTTAAGACTACTAAAATTGATACATTATTTGCCACTTAATTTTTTCATACACTGTACGAGTTTGAATGGTCTTTGATGAAAATAACAGAAACAAAGGTAGCCTACACCAATAGCAAACTGAATTTTTGGCCATCTAATAGTGTCTTGTAATTTCTCTACATTGTAACTAGTTTAACAATTTATTTTCCTATACATTTGAATCATTTAATATTTACACACAATGCATGTCTAAAATGAATTATTATTCATTATTTGTCAACACTTAATGGCTTTTCTTGAAATGCACTTGTTAACCATCGAGCCCTGGTTTCACAGTAATGTTTTAATCTTTCATACCAATGGTGTATTCTTGCATCAAATATCAAGATTCAAGAGTTGACGCACGTCAGCTTCTATTTTTACACCAAAATGATAGGAATTCTGAAAATGAAACCAAATTTTGCAACTAATTCACAGTATGAAACTTGTACAGAGAAAACAAGCATTACACATTTCTCTAACACATTGTGTTAATAACAACTCAGAAAGCTGACAGGCTGAAAAATTCAATACATGAAAATATTAGCAAACAAATATGAAATTAAAACTAAAGTTTTTGTCTGATTAAAGAAGACAATCATTAGTGTTAACACACTTTTTCAGGTCTTGAGGGATTGTGATGGACAATTACAAGCATGTCATTAATGTAGCAAATAACACATTTCAGACAAGATATTTACTCCTTTAAAGTGTTAAAAATAGTTTTATCTGTTTTTCTGCTTTCAAGGTTTTGTAATCAATCACCACCTCTTGTGATTTTAAACTATATTTAGCACTTGAAAATGGGGCAAATACCCTAAAGATTGTGCTGTGTTAAACAAATGACTTCTAATCTGCCATTATTACAATTCTTCATGAGCTGAAAAAATCTCTACACTGAAGATACAGAATTTGTTATCATTAAATTACAAAGTCATTAAGAAAGTACTTATGCTAAGGAACGTTCTTGAAATGAGTTTTGGAGAAGGTCACCATTATGAACCATTTAGTTTGATCGTTTACAACTTGTTTCATAGAACACAAATAGGCAATAAATTCCACTGGATAAAGCAATATCTTACCAAGGAACTGTAATAACAGAAAATAATGAAGTAAAGGAGAAGATAAAAGCAAAAATAGAAACCTGGAATAGATATACCTTCATAAAAAATGAATATCAAGAAAAATATCCCTAGAGCCATTAAACTTAGGGTTTACATTAACGTAATAAGACCATTGAAGTTACACGGATCAGAACATTGGTCCCTCACTAAAAAGATTATTGATATGATAAACATCTGTGAAAAGAAAATCCTGAGAAGGATATACAGGTCAATGAAATGGAGAAGTAGGACCAATTTGCAAACAAATATTTTAGTTTTAAAAATTATTATATTGCATTTAATAACTAAATAAAGCCAATGCATACTTGAATTATACATCTTATTTTATTAGGAACAGGGGTTTGATTTTTAGTTTTTGCAGGAGCTGATTTTGACTAGACTTGGCAAGACATATCAAAATGGTTTAACAATTTCATTGCTTGAGAAGATCTTATGTCTTGCATGGAAATGCAAACATACAAAGGTCAGTAATTTTGTGGACTGTCTTGAGTTGAGAGTGGTACTGTTCACGAGATAGTAAATTACTGCTAATATGAGCAGGAGATAACATTTAGAGGCAGAGAGCACATTTGAAATCAGACATTATCATTCAATAAAATGACAAATTGTAACAATTCTATTGTTATCTTGTTAGATTTATTGATATTGAGGAATAATCATACAACTAGAAATATTCAAAATATATAGAGGCTTCAGTAGCATTATGTAAGGGATGCAGTGTCTAGGTTTGTTTCTATGCTTTAAAAGATAAGAAATTCAAGAAAATGTCTTGTCTAAGTCAGGTGAAAAAGTAGTTCAATCTGTACACTCCAACAATTCATTTTGTAGGAAATTTGAAATGTCTAGAGAAGAGCCCAAGGTCAACAATTTCACAAAAACATGCGTAAGATTGTAAGTAGGTACAAAGGATTAAACA